TGTGTCAGGTAATAAAGAGTGGTGGAGACTGTGGCAAAATAGGGACCAAATGCTACATGTAAAGGGGGTATCAGTAACCCAGCTCCAGCTGCTTACTGACACCTGGGGTTCTGACCCAGGAACTTTTTGTATTTACCAGGGCTTTTTATATTTTTAAGAGAAGCTAGAAATGTGAAAATGTGTGAAACTTCCCAGCTTAATCATGTTGATTCCAAGTGTTAACAAACATTGTATAGGTCAAAGAAAATTACATATCAGTGGGCCACATCTAGTTTCTGGGCTGCCACTTTGTGACCTCTGCCCTATATGGAACTTTCCAGTGTACGCATAGATATCTGCAGGCAGGGGTTTGTAGCTGTTGTCAGTAATTCGGGCGAAAAACTTAGGTAGAAACATTCTCAGGGCAACGAGAGTCATAAACAATGTCACCATGCTACTCAGCAAAAGAGAGGGTGATCTGGTGAATGGATAGAAAGAATGGAAAACAAAATAATATAATAAGATCTACACCTCCTCAGAAAGCATGGCTTTGTTCGAAGTGGTAATGGGATTGATAAAGGCTTCCTTCCAACCTTGGGAGCTGGACAGCTCCAGAGGCAGTCTTCCCAAATCCTCCTGCAGGGCGGCTGGGCTTGTGGAGGGGTAGGGAGGGACATCGTCATGGAGAACAGGATTGCCATGCCAGGTGTGTAGACACACGTGTGGTTCAGCATAGGTTTTTCTTTTTCTCACTGGCCTCAAGCATACTTCTCCCAGCTCTTAGCCAACATAACCTCAAGGCTTCACATCTGGGGAGGGGCTGACAATGATGAAATTCCCCTTTCCAAGGAAGCTCTTTCTTTACCTGTGACCACCCGTAGAGGTACTGGCACAAGTGCATGTGGCCCAGTCATTCACAGTGGTTGCCCTGCCTCTAGCCCTCTCTGTTTAAGCATGAAGAGGAAACAATGCTGGCCTTCAAAACCCTTTTCATCTACTTTCTCACAGTGATGATACTATGACTGTACCTCCTGAGAACTCGCCTTTGGTGCCATTTCAGCTCTTCCTTTTCCTTTAGTTATGATTCAAGTCTCACCAGTTATTTTTCTACAAAGCTTACTCATCCCAAGACATCATTTTCTATTTCTACAGCCACCATCCTTTATCCACGTGCCCAAGATTTCAAATTCCTATTACTATTCATGGCCTGTGAAAAAGGGGTTTCTTGCCTCCAGTCTCTCCCCACTTGCCCCAAACACCACTTCCATCATGTCATCTCCTTCCCTATTATTTATTATTTCAAATTAAAATACACAAACATGACCTGAAAAGACTACCCTCTCCCACCCCCCACTGCCTCCATGTATAGCCTATCCAGTTACCTTCAGGCAACAGAAAGAGAATACATTTTGGAATCACACAGACCCATTTATGTCTTGACTCTTCCATTTGCTCCCTTTGTGACCTGAATGAATTATATGACCTCTCTTGCCTGAAGTCACCTCATCTGAAAATTGGGAAATTAATACGTAGCTTTCATGGTTGTTGGGAGAATGACATAAGCAAATGTATGCTATCTCACTGTAAGTACTCAAAAAATAGTAGCAGTCATTAACATTACTCTCCACAAATGTAGCCTTAGAGAGACAAAATAAGAGGGTGTTTACATCTGTCAGCACATGATAGAAATGTCAAAAGAATCTGAAGCAAAGTAAATAATTAATGGAAATGTGCACTTATTTGTTCTGCTATTGAGCAAAAGAAAATGTTTAAGAATTTATCAAAAGAGAAGGTAAAAGTCTACTGCTACCAAGTTTTACCATTTTTTTTCCTCCTAAACATTTTAGTTGTGTCATACCTATGTTCTCCTTCAACACAGACAGGTGGTTTTGATCAAAGTCCCTGCATGTCCCCTTGTAAACAACTAGAACATGCTCAACCTTGTGCAATCTGGCCTGCAGTCACTTTCCACCTTCATACCACAATTAAGCATGGCAGAGCAGAAACATGCAAATTGTCTGAAGTCAAACAAACCCAAATGTGAATCCTGTCTCTATTAAAGTCCTAGCTGTGGGACTGCAAGCAGGGTATTCGATCTCTCCAAGTCTCAGTCTCTTTCCTGTAAAATTAGGAGAATCATCCCATTCATGTAGGGAATGCTAGATTAGTGTCGCTTTGAAAGGGATTCACCTATTTTAACTATGCAATAAATGTTACCTCCCATTTTCTTTCCATTTAAGTGGACTCCAATGTTTACATCTGCTAAGAAATTTCCTTGATCAAGTCCTCTTAACACTAACTGCTACTTTACTCTGCACCATCTCATCAAATGAAATTTTAAAATTTTAGAGTTACAAGAAAAAAGAGTTTTTGAGTTAGACAGACTTGGTTTTGAACCTGGTTTCAACAATAACTAGCTGTGTTATCTGGATAAGTCTCAGTTTCTTTATCTGTAAGACAGGAGTAACAACAGTTCTTCCTTTAGAGAGCCTTTATGAGGATTCAATGAAATAAGGCTTAGAACAGGATCTAGCAGAGAAAAAGGATCCAGCAGAGGGTAGCCACTCTTATTAAAGTGGCAAGTAGAAGAAATTGTAGCTAACAGGTTGAGATTTTTATCTTAACTTGACACAAATAGTCCATTCCCATAACCTCTCTGTTTCCATATCTGGAAACTGAAAGTCATATACCTGCTTTATATCCCAGGAATCTTGTGAAGATGAAATAACATCATGAATATGAAGATTTCTTGAAAAATGAAAAGTACAGTGATATATTTTGGCTGTGTCCCCACCCAAATCTCATCTTGAATTGTAGTTCCAATAATCCCCACATGTGAAGGGTGGGACCAGGTGGAGATAATTGAATCATGGGGGTGGTTCTCATGATAGTGAATTAGTTCTCATGAGATCTGATGGTTTTATCAGGGGCTTCCCCTTTTGATCAGTACTCACTCCATCCTGCTGCCCTGTGAAGAAGGTACCTGCTTCTCCTTTGTCTTCCACCATGATTGTAAGTTTCCTGAGGCCTCCCTAGCAATGTGAAACTGAGCCAATTAAACCTCTTTCCTTTATAAATTACCCAATCTCAGGCAGTTCTTTACAGCAGCATGAGAATGGACTAATATAATAAACTGGTACCTGTAGAGTGGGGTGCTTCTATAAGGATACCCGAAAATGTGGAAGCGACTTTGGAACTGGGTAACAGGCAGAGGCTGGAACAGTTTGGAAGGCTCAGAAGAAGACAGGAAGATGTGGGAAAGTTTGGAACTTCCTAGAAACTTGTTGAATGGTTTGACCAAAATGCTGATAGTGGTATGGACAATGACATGTCCAGGCTGAGGTGGTCTCAGATGGAGATGAGGAACTTGTTGGGAAATAGAGTAAAGGCAACTCTTGTTATGCTTTAGTAAAGAGACTGGTGTCATTTTGTCCTTGCCCTAGAGATCTGTGGAACTTTGAACTTGAGAGAGATATTTTAGGGTATCTGGCAGAAGAAATTTCTAAGTGGCAAAACACTCAAGAGGAAGCAGACATAAAAGTCTGGAGAATTTGCAACCTTATGATGCCATAAAAAAGAAAATCCCATTTTCTTGGGGGAAAAATTCAAGCTGGCTGTAGAAATTTGCATAACTAACAAGGAGCTGAGAGTTAATCACCAAGACAACTGGGAAAATGTCTCCAGGGCATGTCAGAGACCTTCATGGCCAGGGGGTAAAAATGGTTTCCTGGCCCAGCTCTATACAGCCTCAGGACACAGTACCCTACATCCCAGCAGCTTCAGTTCCAGCCACGGCTAAAAGGGGCCAATGTATGGCTCAGGCCATTGCTTCAGAGGGTGCAAATCCTAAGTCTTAGCGGCTAACACATGGTGTTGGGTCTGTGGGTGCACAGAAGTCAAAAATTGAGGTTTGGGAACCTCCATCTAGATTTCAGAGGATGGATGGAAATGCCTGGATGCCCAGGCAGAAGCTTGCTGCAGGGGCAGAGCCCTCATGGAGAACCTCCACTAGGGCAGAGTGGAAGAAAAATGTAGGATTGGAGCCCCTACATACAGTCCCCACTGGGGCACGACCTAGTGGAGCTGTGAAAAGAGGGTCACTGTTCTCCGGACCCCAGAATGGTAGTTCCACTGACAGGCTGCATCATGCACCTGGAAAAACTGCAGACACTCAACGCCAGCCATGAAAACAGCTCGGAGGGCTCATACCCTGCAAAGCCACAGGGTAGAGCTGTCCAAGGCCATGAGAGCTCACTTCTTGTATTAGCATAATCTGGATGTGAAACATGGAGTCAAAGGGGATCATTCTGAAACTTTAAGGTTTAATGATTGCCCTACTGGATTTTGGACTTGCATGGGGCCTGTAGCCCCTTAGTTTTGAACAATTTCTCACATTTAGAATGGGTGTATTTATACAGTGCCTGTACCCGCATTGTATCTAGGAAGTAACAGATACAATCAAACAAATAACAGATACAAAAAAGGCTCAAATATGAGCCTTTTGATTTTACAGGCTCATAGGTGGAAGGAACTTGCCTTGTCTCAGATGAGACTTTGAACTGTGAACTTTTGAGTTAATGTTGGAATGAGTTAAGACCTCAGGGGATTGTTTGGAAGGCATAATTAGTTTTGAAAACTTGCCTTGTCTCAGCTGAGACTTTGGCCTGTGGACTTTTGAGTTAATGCTAATGTGAGTTAAGACTTTGGAGGACTGTTGGGAACGCATGATTGGTTTTGAAATGTGAGGACATGAGATGTGGGAGGGGCCAGGGGCAGAATAATATGGTTTGGCTATGTCTCCACCCAAAGTTTGCCTTTAATTGTAATTCCAATAATCCCCATAGGTCCAGGGTGGGACCAGGTGGAGGTAATTGAATCATGGGGTTGGTTTCCCTGATGCTGTTGTTGTGATAGTGAGTTAGTTCTCATGAAATCTGATGGTTCTATCAGGGGCTTCTCCCTTTGCTTGGCACTCAATTCTGCTGCCCTGTGAAGAAGGTGCCTGCTTTTCCTTTGCCTTCTGCTATGACTGTAAGCTTCCTGAGGCCTCCCCAGCAAAAGAGGTGAGTCAATTAACCCTCTTTCCTTTATAAATTACCCAATCTTGGGCAGTTCTTTATGGCAGCATGAGAATGGACTAATAGTACAGGTTTTACACATCTGCTAGCAAAAAAACGTTCTCTTTTTCTGACTCCCTTTATGTCTGTCTGTTGGTCTGACAGCTCACTGAAGTCAGGGAAAGATCCTTTAATTTCTTTTGTACCCATTGCATGGTTTCTAATTCCCATTTCCTGCTCAGTGCATACTCACTGCTTATTTCTCACCCATGCCTGCCTTATAGAACAAGATAAAATTAAAAACACCTACCCCTTTTGTGTGGGTAGTGTTTCTGCCAAGGCAATGATTTAGCTCCTGCCTGGTATGAGGGCCTGAGCTGCCCCAAGGAGAGGGGAAAGATCAAGCATCTATAATAAATGTTCCCTAGGCAGGGAGGGAAAAATCACCTAACACTCTTGTGGCTTTTAGAAAAAAAAGGGGAAGAGAAGGAGGACAAAGAAAACCCTGAGCTTTAAACAAGTGGCCGGGCTGTTTGTCATCTGTAAAATGAGGCAATGGAAAGCAGGAAAGGGCAGTGGTCCCTGGGTCTGCTTCAAGGATTCGTGCCTCAGACGTCTGCTCCAATGCTCCTGGGCTGTCCATCTGCAATTTCTTTTTTCTTTAACAAAAACAGAGAACCCTCACTGGGCTGAAGTTTCCCACCTGGGCTGAGTTTTCAGACCTGGCCTAGGTGGTCCCTAAGTAAATATTTTTATCCTCACTCACTCACCTCCTCCTGAGGAAAAAAAAAAAAACCATCTTTTTGCTCAGTGAGAGAAGAAAGCACCCAAACCAAACAACAGATTCTTTGCAGCATTTGAACCCTCATTCTAGGGACTCCCACGAGGGCATGTGGTTTAAATCAGAGTACCCAGGCTACTTGTCTATCTTATGGACAAATCTGATTAACATGGACTCGGAGAGAAAGTTTGGATGCATGCCAAAGTACTTTAGTGCCTGTGCAGACTGGTGCACGGACTCTTCCCATTACCCAATAGTTCTAGACATCCACCTGCAGGCAAAAAGTAAAGAAACAGCTTAACCTAAAGTGCAAACCATGGTGTACTCTTGATTTTTCACATGGAGCCCTTCATGATTTCGCCATAGCTGGTAGATTCAATAGAAGTCCTCCTGCTGTAGACAGAATTTCCATGGTCCTTTTGCCTCTGCATTCATTTGGTTTGGGCTGAGTAGTTTTTTTTTCAGATGCGCCTCCATTTGTGTCAGGCACTTGTGCTGGGCTGGAGGGATCCAAAGATGAACAAAAGACAACCTCTGCCCTCCCGAAGCACACTGCTCTTGTGATAAGGATAAAAATCCAGACTGATGATTATAAAGTAATCGATTTGCTAGGGTTCCTACAGCAGATTGTCACAAACTTGGTGACTTGAAAAAGCCTTACCCTCTCACAGTTCTGGGGGACAGAAGTCTGAAATCCAGGGGTCAGCAAGGTTCATTCTTTCTGGAGACTGTGCAGAAGAATCCATTCCGTGCCTCTCTCCTGGCTTCTGGTGGCTGCTGGCAGTCCTTGGGGTTTGTTGGCTTGTAGCTGCATAATTCCAATCTCTGCGTTTGTCTTCACTTGGCCTTCCCTTTGTGTCACATCTCCCTCTCCTTTATCTTATAAGGACACATCACTGGATTTATAGCCCATACTAAACCCAGGATGACCTCATCCAAAGACCCTTGAGTTAATGATATCTGCAAATATCTTATTTCCAAATAAGGTCACATTCATAAGGTAATGGCGCTTAGGGTTTGGATGTATAGTTTGGGAGAACACAGTTCAATCTATAGCAAAGATCAAATATGATATGTACTATAAGAATAGAGGCAAACACAGGACATGATTGTAGCAGAGAAGAGGATGGTCCATTGCAGCTGACTGAGAGGTAGGAAAGGGCTCTAGAGGAGGTGGCTCATAAGGGGAATTTGGGGGAACAAGCTGGAGTGTGTCCCAAGGAGGGGCTGCTTGTGTGAAAGTGAAGAGGTTTGCAAGTGTCATAAAGGGGATGACTCCATCTTTGGAGTTTGAGTGTTGGCAGGATCCTGGGATCCCTTCTGTGCTCAACCCTCCTCTCCACCACTGCCTTTGATACCTGACAAGAAAGACCTCTCTGAGCTGGCTGGAATTTCAAACAGTGTAGCCTCTAGCCTACCGTGCATGAAGCCCCCCAACTTGGCCTCTCATCTAAACATAAAAAAGTCCCAAACTACCCCCCAACCCCACCCCTAATTGTTCTCCTTCTCATCATTGGAATTCTTTGCAATGTCTTCCCTTTCTGAGAATCTCAGCTTGCTGTGAATACTAACTAAACATTCATTCATATTCATTGGTGAGTGTCATCTGGGTGAGTGATCAGATCCTGCCTCTGGGTGAACTGACCAAATAGAAAAAATGGTGGGAGTGGGGAATCATAGAGAGTTTGTGTGAATGGGGTGTGTGGAGTGTGAGTAGGGTGGAGGAGAAGTTAGTTCAGATTGGAGAGGTAAACAGAAGGCAAATTATGGAGAGTCTAGCATAACAAAAGTCCTACAGCAAACACAAACTGGAAAAGGTGTATTGAAGCCAAATGGCTCAAATTCACCTGTAAAACACAGGTGCTGCTGCTCGGGGACCACCCTGGTTTTCAAGAAATGAAGGCTTAAGCATTAGGAAATACAGGATAGGATGGATGAACAAACAAAAGTCTGAAGCACAGAGAGCCTTCTAGAGGTGGAGCTTCCTGTCTTTAGAGCCAGAATTTTCCAGGGTCTGAATTTCATTCTGTAAGCCTGTTTGAGGTGAGTTAACCCTTTAGGCATGTGGTGCAGATGATTAAAGTTCTTGGGCAGTGTCCTTTGAGCCAATCACTAGCTTATAAATCTTATGTGCTTGCAAAGGCATCTTTTGTTGGGCCAGAGGAATGATTTACTCTTCGTGGAGTAAACTTGGCCAATAGCTACTCTTGACATAAGTGTGGAGGGACAAAACAATAAGGAGATTTTCAACTGGTCATTTCCATCCAGTTGACAAAATTATCAGAGCAGCATCGGTGTGACTTCTTTTTTGACTCCCATGAAACTGCCTAGACCATAAAGTAAGCCCGAGCTGGCCAGGTGCGGTGGCTCATGCCTGTAATCCCAGCATTTTGGGAGGCCGAGGTGGGCAGATCACGAGGTCAAGAGGTCGAAACCATCCTGGCCAACATGATGAAACCCCGTCTACTAAAAATACAAAAATCAGCTGGGCGTGGTGGCGGGCACCTGTAGTCCCAGCTACTTGTGAGGCTGAGGCAGGAGAACCGCTTGAACCCGGGAGGCAGAGTTTGCAGTGATCTGAGATTGCGCCACTGCACTCCAGCCTGGGCGATAGGGCCAGACTCCATCTCCAAAATAAATAAATAAAAAGTACACCCTGGTTATGAAAAAGAGGGGGCTATCTTACACGCTGACGTGGGGTTGGAAGTGCTTTTTGATTAAGGATGTCTGAGGTTGCTTTGGTGTGAAACAGTTCATGAATTTGTGGCAATTATCCACCCCCACACTGATTGTGCTGCTTCAGCTGAGGTCACAGCATCAGGGTGAGGATTTGTGTGGAAATTCAAACTTCACTGGAACACTGTCCTCAAAGAACTCGCCCCGCTTCACCGCCCCCCGCCCCGCCCCACACACACCCTGAGGAGTTTTTGCGAATGATCCTTTATCCTAAATACCCCACCACTCCAGGAACACTACATGGCCGATTCAGAAGGCCACAGCCCATGCATTCTTGTTGTCCTTCCAAACTCATTATTTATGTGTGGCTTTGGATGGTCTTCAGAAGATTTGCTGAAGCATTCACACCACTCCAATCCAAAACTTCACTCTATTGCTAGACTATTCTTTATGTGACAGCTATGGCATCCCAGATCATTTTAGAATCAAATGTCAGGTACATACCCTTTCAAAGATAGAAAATGGAGGGAAAATCGCCAGCTGCCCCAATCTTCAACTACTTCCCCTTAAAGGCCCTATGGTATTCCATATTAGAGGCTTGGAAAATCACCACACAGCTGTCAGCAAACTGCAGGAATTGTACTGGCAAGATTGGCTTGTGGTGGCTCTGTCTACAAATTTGTGTTTCTTGTCTGCCTGCCAACACCCACTGTCCCTGATAAATGTAGCGCTCAGAGATGGCTAACAAGAGAGGTAGATTGTAGCACATACACCAAGCCCCTGGAGAAGATCAGTGAGGGGAGGTTTAGAAATAAAGCAGAGACGGTGAGATTGAGAATTGGAGAATCTGGGTGCACATCCAGAAAGCCAGGAGCAAATCAATGCTTAAATCATTACTTGCATATCTCTGATAGGTAAGACTGATAGTAGGGACTGTGGAGATATAAAGAAACACATGATGTGACCTTTACTCTAAATGAGCCTTCAGTCTGTGTGGGTGGCTAACAGATGTCCTATGCGGGAGTGTAAGTGACAACATAATTTAATAAATGGAGGAGATAAAGGTTATGTCTATGATATATTAATAGTGAACATAGGGGAAGACATATATTCGAATTTGGCATAGTTAGATGATTTGAGTTTGAGATGATTATAGACTTCTAAATATACATGTCCATCAAACTATTGCTTAAGTGGGACTTGAGCTTAGGAAAGTGGTCAAATTTGAGTTTATAGATTTAGGAACCATTAGTGCAGAAGTAATACAACTGCTCCAAGGGATAGAAGAGCAGAGGTTAAGGACCGAACTTTGTTTCAATCCAGTTGCCAGAGGAAATGGATTAACTAGTAAACAGAGAAAAGGATACGAAGAAACGTATAAAACTGAGATAGTGTAACACTGTGGAAACCAAGGGAAGATGATACAAAAAAGTTGGTAATGTGGTCAGTAATGTGTAATGCTGCAATGAGGCTACGGAGTTTGGGGAAAAAAAGTCCTATACAGCATTTAAGGGCCAGAAAAAAGACAGTGACTTCTGAGCAGCCCATATGAGTGGGGTGGTCCTTTTCTCACTTCTTCAGGCAGTTTGCCTGTTCTGTTAACATTTCCTGATATAGAATGGTTTTAACGTTTTCAACCTCCTATCACTTTCCTCTGTCTGTCAGCAGCAGAGCATAATTGGGAGGAAAATCACGTAGGCTCAAATCCAAATTTGTTTTTACCTCTGCCGGTAAAAACAAATTTGGCAACCAACTGAGCAGGTCACAAGCTGAGGGCAGAACCCCTGATTCTCATGGCACAACATTTCCTCAAGCCTGTCAGTCTTTGAATGCAATTAGTCAACTGGGTGTGAATCCATTTGAGATATTTTGTTGAATGTCTGGTTGAAATTAATAAGTGCTATGTTTGGGAGTAGTCCCTTAATTTATCAGCATAGTAAATTTTAGCTCAAAGGCAAATGAAGTTAACCTGCCATGATTTGTTCTTAGTGAACAATGGTGGGTTCTTGGTGATCACTTTATTGTTTGTTTGGTTTTTTAGCCTATAGTTTAATCATCTTTTCTAGAATTTTGTCAAGGATTTTAATAATGGCATTAAAAATAAAATAAAAACATACAAATGTTTATGAACATTTAGGTTTAAGGAATTAGATATTAGTAAATTTGGATAGCTTCTGATCACTAGCCTTCTGAGAACTCTCCCATTCCTTGTATCATCTGATAGTTAATAAGATTGTTAAGAGGACATATGTATATTTATTTTAGAGCTTACAATTTTCCAATGCCTAAACAGTTGAGCTCATGAGTGCCTAATTGTTCTCCCTCAATCTTGACTTGAATTCCTTTTTTATATTGTTTGTTTCATTGAGTATAAAGATAATTCTTGCTAGAAAATAAAAAAACTAAAGAGAAGTTGAGTGTTGTGGCTGGGTGCAGTGGCTCACACTTATAATTCCAGCACTTTGGAAGGCCAAGGTGGGTGGATCGCTTGAGGTCAGGAGTTCGAGACCAGCCTGGACAACATGGTGAAACCCCGTCTCTAACAAAAATGTAAAAAATTAGCTGGATGTGGTGGTGCACACCTGTAATCCCACCTACTGGGAAGGGTGAGGCAGGAGAATCGCTTGAATGCAGGAGGCAGAGGTTGCAGTGAGCCGAAATCATGCCACTGCAATCCAGTCTGGGTAACAGAGCAAGACTCTGTCTCAAAAGAAAACAAAAGAAAAAAAAAAAGTTGAGCTTTCTTCCTTCTCTCTGTTATTCAGGACAGCAGTTCAGTCTGATAACTGTTTAAGCACCCACTCTGTATGCATGCTATGAAAGGCTTCAGTGATATGAGGATCTTACCCAAGATTTACTTCATTCTGTTTTTAGTGGTCAGCAAATAACTGGCACTAATACTGTATCTTCACATTCAAACCCATTTTCTGGATGAATTTTTTTGAGATCTAAATGCACAAACCCCCACTATGTATCCAATAGGGTTCATGAGTTGCCCGTTTCCTTTTATCTTTGGTGGGATTATTTTCAACTGAGTAAACACAGTGTTAACTCTCAGTATTCCTCAAATTTAGAAATCCTCAGTCTCTTTAGATGTCTTCTAGATGTGGACTTGCTTCTAGCTATTCTCTGAATTTCTTGAAGCCTTAGGTAACATGTCTAGCAATCCTTACTGTATCTTTAACCTTTTTGAGAAGGTTCTCTCAAAATTCCTGTTAATTCAAGACTGTTTTGAAGGCCAATTCTAAGTCAAAGGGAAATTCATCTATGTTTTCCCTCTGTTTGCTAAATGATAAAATTGTCAATGAGGCTAATGTTTGTGAGATAGTCTAATTTTAATGGAATCAGACTTCTGGTAAATGTATGTAGAGTTAAAGTCTCCTATCCTATTATCTCTGTATTTTTAAAATATACTCTGTATTAGGAAATAATTTTAAATAATTTATATTAGAAAAATATCATCCTTAAACACCATCTGGCTAGGTATCCTATGATATAATTCCACCAAAACAGAACTTTTGATTCTCTTTCCCTTTATTGCAATTGATAGGCTTTTTACTTTACTTCCCCTCTCCAATCTATAGGTTTTTATACTAGTATATGACTCCATTATTTACAGGTCTAAATTCTTCTGCTTTTCCTCTGCTTGATAGGCAATATCCCACCTGGTTTCTTCAGATGGGATTAAGAAAAGATTTACAAGTAAGCAAGACTTTGGCTTGCAAGACATTGGCTTGCAAGACATTGCAAGACAAGCCAATGTCAAGCAAGAAAGGCTTGAAATAGATTGGAAGTTTCTATGAGGGCTCATCAGGGCTGGCAGTAAATAAGGGAAACTTGGGCAAGGGATTTGCCTCATGAGAAACTTCTTTAGCAGTGCTAAGATTGACCCTGCTTAAGCACCCAACTTCTGATGTTTTGTAAGATTTGTGTCTTATAGAGCCAGTCCCCTAAGGGAATACATCATTTTCATTCATCCACAAACCTCCAAAGCCAGTGCTCAAAGAAGGGTCACATTTTCTGCTGGGAAACTCATTCCCTTTCAATCCCCTATGATTTTCACTTTTACCCCCATTATACCTCCAAATACACCTGACCTGCTGGATTTAAAATATTCATTTTTCACATCTCTCTTCCCTAACAGATTGCAACCTTGTGGAGGGCAGAGGCTGTGTCTGCCTCATCTGTGCATTTCCACCACCCAATCCATAGTAGATGTTTCTTGAATAAATGATCTTATTTCCTTTGTGAGCAGTTACGGTGGATCCCAGGTAAGGGTGTCTGTTTGTATGTACCAAGAGTAACCCTAGTCTTTCAGAGCAACAGAATTCCCATCTTTTGTGACTTAGCCAGGGCAAGAATTCTGGTCAGAAGTATTTGCCATTTAAATGTGTTTCTCTGGATAGGATTAATATTCCTCTTTTGGCTTTTTTATAATGGTTCATTTATTGTATATTCTAGTCATAGGCTTCACCATGCAAATAGAGAAATATCTAGAAGGTTGCATATATCTTTGAATCCTGACATGTCAACTGTTTGTCCCCTCTACTCTGTAGGTTTGGTATATAAATGACATTTACCATTGCCTAAGAACTACTAGGAACTTCTGCCCGCCCTGTGCTTCATCTTGTTATGTCAGATATAGCATCTTCCATATAATTCTGTTTTGCAGTATATTTGGCCTTTTTACCTCTCTCTGACAAAAACCCTGTTTCTACTCTTGTTGATCAGGGCAGAATTGTCTGCCAAATACATTCTTCCCAGTCTTTGTGACGTGTAGCCAGATTCTACAGATTCTAGCCAGGACATTTGTTCTGATGTCATAGGCCACAGTCTAGGAAATTAACATCTTCTCTTCAACGCTGTCTCTAGCTGTTCACTCCCTTAGCCTCCTTTCTTTTCCAAAGACATGACGTTCAGCTGGAATAGCTGAAAACATCACCTGTGTCCTGAGTGCCCATTTACAATTTTCCATACAGAACACTGGGGTCTCTGGGCACCCAACCCACCATTCGTTTCCATGGGGGGGCAGTGAATGGTGAGATTCAGGGGTCTTATCTTGTATATTGCCACATACCCTCTCTACTGTGGTCTTGTGACTGACTGTCCATGCATAGGTGCCTCTGGATGGCACAGGTCAAACTCTTCCTGACATAATTTCCTCCAGGAATAATAATGGGGTTCTTTTATGTGATAGCCCCTAAAAATCTCTTTTATTGTTCTTAGAGCATGAAATGATACTTTTTATCAAAATATCTCATAGCATGCTCCACTACAATCTCTGTGGAATTTCCTCCTTTCTTCTCATTCACATAACTTCTGACATCTATTTCTATTCATAATTTTGGCATCTTTTTCTACTTGGTTGCTTACTTCCTGGATTAGTTTTTTCACTTCCTATTATGTTCATTCTCTAATAAACTAGAATGTAACAAGGTGATCCTCAAACTTTTTCTTTCATTTTTAATGGCCACTGAAGCTTGAACGTAGAGTAAATAGAACTCTTAATCAGAGGAAGACAAACACAAATAGATTCCAAAGGTCAGAAAGCTCTAATCTGTACATCACTTCCAAGCCTGAAGAACAAGAAAACATCTTGGAACGGCAGGGAACAATTGTTTTCAAGCCCCACTGACTGGAACAAAGTAATGACCTTCTCATTCATTTTCTGTTAAAAGTGCTCTGTATATTTGAGAATCTTCATGTGGCTTCTCAGCAGCTGATACTGAGACATTAGAAAGCCCATAATCAGCACCATGATGTTGTTAAAAGAACACCAGGTAAGGAATCTGGAGAACTGGGTTCTAATACAAATTCCTCCATTGTGTGGTTTGGGGCTATTTATTTGAATTCCGAATCTCATTTCCTGATCTATTGACTTGGGGCAGAAAATAGTCCTTATTGTTTTTCACTGGGTAGTTGTGAGGTTAACACACACACACACACACACACACACACACACACATTTTACAAAGTGAATAGTGCTGCACAAATACTACATTTAAATTATCATTGCAGCTTTAAGGCAGCTTGCCAACCTATAGCCCTCATAAAAAGGATAAGCTAGAATGAATAATCCTAGATTCTTTGATTTTTTTGTTTGTTTGTTTGTTTGTTTATAGCAGAGGGGCTATAAGAGATTGAGCAGGCCACTCATCCTGTTTGAGAATTCCGCTATCTGTGAACTGGGGATGATAATAATATCTGGCCTTCTAAGTTCTGCTCTCTGGCCTGAGGCTCAACCTCTTCACCTCATGAATGACACCAGGAAGATTCAGCCTTCAGGAAAAAGAGTGCCCCTACTCAACTCTGAAATCACAACTTTACCTGAAGAGTCCATCAGGACAACACAACAGAAGAAAAAATAATAAAACCAACATCTATACATACATGCCTTGTATAATAGCTGATTGAGACGGAGGTAGAAAGAATTGACATTTCTTTGCACTAGGGTATTTTATACTAGGGTACAAAATAGCTTGAAGTAGAACCTATCTTTTCAGCTTACAGCTTTCGATAGCCATGCTATCCTTAATTGGTTGGTTGATTTTCTATCTACAATTCTTTATTATACTGTGAAATAATAAGAAATACACATATTGTCCCCAGTTTCTGGCATAGAGCTGCTAAAATCCTTGCAATTTCCTGAACAATAGGGATGCTAGGAGGATCTTTAGTTCTAATATTTGGTCTTCGAGCCTGGTTCTTGACACAGAGCTCCTAAATCTCTAGGAATTTCCTGGGTGATAGAAACATCTTTTGTTCTTTTGAGGTTACTCTTGGTAGGCTCCTGGATATGGGCCGGTCACTAGAAAGATCAAGCCATGATTATAAGCTTGGAACTTTCAGCCCCAGCCCCCATTCTCCAGAGAGGGGAGAGTGGCTGGAAATGGAGTGAAAAATAAATAATGCCTACGTGATGATGCCTCCATAAATATCCCTAAACTGTGGGGTTTGGAGAGTTTCTGGTTTGGCAAATGCATCCATGTGCCAGCAGCACGGCACACCCCAATTCTATAGGGTCAGAATCTTCTGTACTTTGCGACCCTTTTCAGCTTCACCCTACATATCTCTCCCACCTGTCTGTTCATCTATATTCTTTATTATATCCTTTACTAATAAACTGGTAAATGTAACTTTCCCCGAGTTCTGTGAGCCATTCTTAAACCCAAGAAGGAAGTAGTGGGAACCACGATTTACAGCCCACATACCTATATAGTACACTTGTGTAGTATAGATAACATCCTACTACTTGCGATTGGCATCAAAAGCTAGGGTAAGTCTTACAGAACTCAGGCCTTAACCTATGGGATCTGATGCTATCTGCAGGTATGTAATGTCAGAATTGAACTGAATTGTAAGACATCCAGCTGGTGTGTGCTAGAGAACTGCTTGTTGTATGATAAAATATCCCTACACATCTGGTGTCAGAAGTATTATGTTGAGTGGTCTGTGAGAGTAGGAAAAAAAACACTTTGGATTTATTTTTCTTATCTCTAATAGTACAGTTCAGCCAGAACTACAGATTCAATGATTGTCTACACTGACAAAGCTTGAGAATCAAAGAGAGAATGACATTAGTGGGTACAGACTCAGACACATGACATGGAAATGTAGAGTGATGGAATGTAGCCCAGAAAGCCCAAAAATCTATGAGCACACAGGAGGAGATATAGATATGTATACACACACACCACACACACACACATACACACACACACACACACTCACACAGGTATACACCTCCCAAATGGTATCAGAGCTGAGAACAAACAGGCGCTGCTATTCTATTTTTAAGGCTGTCATTTTTCAGCAGATCAGAACAAAGTAAAACACAGTAGGAGAAAAAAGCGAACTAAGGGTTCTATTGCTTTTGTTTGAAGTCATCCATGCTGAAGTTGATTTTAATTTAAATGTGGGGTTAGTTTACCTTGGGGGTCATAGTGCATGTGCAAGCTAGGACCCTCAGCAATTATCTTGCACCATGTAAAAATCAACGAACCTGTGCACTTGAGGAAAGGCTATTTGTTACTTTTTCACTAGAAATAAATTAACCAGCCAACTCAAGGATACATACACTTAATGACAGTGACAAAAACGAGTCGATATCTTCTTTACTGACTTCCCCCAGCAAATGTAACGGAGAGTTGACTTTCCTGGGTTGGTATCTAGAAAGGTAAGCCTGAATGGTTATTTTTTAAATAATCTCTCATGTGTAAACAGAATGTACTTCCCTGTTTTGTATTTGACACTTGCACCAATGTAGTGATTTTAAAGTAAACAATTTTGGACTAGAATCCTCATGACTTGCTATGGTCTAAATGTTTGTTTCCCCACAAAATTCATGTCTTAAAACCTAATCACCAAGGTGATGGTATTAGGAGGTGGAGTCTGTGGGAGATGATTAGGTCAGGAGAGCTCTCCACTCATGCATAGGATTAGTGCCCTTATGAAAAAGACCCCAGAGAACTAGTTAGAGGGCGACCCTTCCACCATGTGAGGACATGACAAGAAGTCAGCAGTCTGCAACCCAGAAGAGCGCCCTCATCAGATGCTGAATCTACAGGCATCTTAATCTTGGACTTCTTAGTCTCCAGAACTGTAGAAAATAAATTTCTGTTACTTATAAGCAACCCATTTTAGTGTATTTTGTTATGGCAGCCTGGACAGACTAAGGCATGACTTTTCCCAATGACCTACTGTGTCTGTGATTTATTGATGTATTCCAATTTGAGGAAAACCCATTAGAGACAGTCCTTGCTTCATAAAATTGAAGAATTGTGAATAAAGAAAATATTGGTAGATTGAATCTCTTATGAAAGATACTAGTTAACTCGTTACAGTGGAGCCTTCACAGTTGCAAGAGGTGCCCTGAGAGCAGGTGGCCACATATGGCTATGCAGAGGAGCACTGCCCCATGCCAGGTCACACCTCTTAAACAGACCTGAGATCTCCAGAAAATGCCAAAGTTGCTTTAATGCCATGTTTCTTCATTTATCACATGGGGAGAGTAAATGCATCCTCACTGAGCTGAGAGGATTAAAAGATACTTTCATATTAATTGAGAACAACAAAACTGGACTGAGATGCGGGTGCTTGTTTTGCACGAAGTGATCAGCCTCTGCACATCATCTTCGTAGCTCAGAAGATTCAAATTAAAAAGAAATCATGAACTACCTATCATGAGTCACTTGCAAATAGCTACAACTATGAACAGTAAATGAAGCCATGAATTCTTACATTGAAAGGAATTCATGATTACAACTTTTAATTTGAGGGTCAATACAATTAGATTCTCAAGTTAGAGTACACCTTTGTAGATTTCAGAATAATTCTATTCCTCAGAGGAGTCTTCATATGATCAAAGATTCACCATATTGTTCTCATCTTAAATTGTTTTTAGAGACAGGGTTTTGCTGTTGTCTAAGCTGGTCTCAAACTCCTGGGCTCAAGCAATCCTGTCTCAGTCTCCCAAAATGCTGGGGTTACAGGAATGAGCCACCACCCCTGACCATAGAATTTTCTTAATAGTGAGATTCCCACATAATTTTAAGTCTCTTTAAATAACCTGATTTTGTAGAACCACACTGCGGTGAATTCTTGCTACATTCGTGCCCAGAAGGATATACTATTGATCACATCAAGAGATAGTTCTGAATTCTTGGGTAATTAATGTCCTTGGAACAGGTTCAAGATTGGAGTCCACTAGAAAAGGTCAAACTCTAAATGAGTGCATTTTGTAAAAAGAGATACATAATTAGAGTCAGAGATTATTTATTTATTTATTTTTGCCAACTGAAACAACTATGGTGGCTTCAGAGATTTCTGATTCAGTGGCCTTAAGTGTTTCATGCAAACTTTCATTTAGACAGTCCTCAGATCTCCAGGGCATCCTATATGTAGTAATGGGTTATTTCAAAAGCTGCTACTAAAAACCTCCTGAATATTCTACATGTACACATATTGAGGTTATACAGATACAGTTTGTTTCGAGACATAAGAAAGAAGATAACAAATAGCATTATGGATGGTGTATTGAGAATCACTATCTTATGTTCTAGCTACATAGTGAGTCAAAATATTCAATTGCAAAGTGACAACTTCCATTTGCCCTTTATCTGCCTGGAATTTTCTGACAGTTTCTCCTACAGGTTTTTGAGTTCTTTGGTATCATATAGGTTTAGTCTTTACAGCACAAAGCTGGGTTCCTTTCAGCTGCTCCTGTCTTTGTCTCAGATGCCCCATTCAATTCAAGATATATGTCTTTTTGCTTCTGTGAAAATGTAATCTTTTAAGTGACTCACAGAATAAGAAAAAACAAATTGAGTTAGAAGCCTGACAAACACCCAGATCAGCCAGCCTCACCCAATTCAGTCCAAGGAGGTTTGACAAGTTGCTATACAAAAAAGCAGTCTTTTGGAGGCAAAACTGCTTGCCAGTGTGCACATCAACTCTGACAGAGGGCAAAACACCAGCTGCCTGAATACGCTCTCAGGCTGCATCTCCAGGAGCAAAAAGGGCTCTTCAGTTTCAGCAAAGTGAACCGTCCTCCCCCCAGCTAATCAAAACGCCCCTTGGTTGGCAGATCGAAATATCCTTCAATCCAGTAAGCCTGCATGCATGACTTTTCACAGCTAACCTCTGCCCAGGGAGAAGTCAATAAAGAAACAAAATGCAAATAAATTAGCATTCATCACTGCTGATCTAGTATAAATATTTATAAGGGAAAGATGCAGCGATTTTGAGTGATACCATGATCTGGACCCCACATAAACAGTTAAAAACAGCCATACTTGAGATATTGCACTTTGCATTTTTTTTTTCCATTTCACATCACCATAATCACCCAATAAATATTTAAATGGACCCATTTGCTGTAACTATAAAAGAACCGTGTAAACTTGTTGTCATCTAGACACATTAGCCGTGGTGGAGTCAATGAATTTCAACAGTCACTTAATATCGCAGCCACTAGCTACCTTAAAACTGCCAGCGAGGGCCTGCCAGGAAGCTACTGTAACAGCCCAGATCACTGCCTCCTGAGCAAGACACGAGCTTCATTATGAATGCGAGCATTGCTGCTCTAATTAGGCCTGGGAGAGGTTTAACAACCATCCTACAGTCTTGCTGCTGACAAATATAAAAATAAAGCCTTGTTCGAATTAGCAATGTGAAGTGAGAAGGTCTAGAAGCACCAACTGTCTGAGCGGCCCTGGGACGGCTCTAATCTATAGTGAGGTTATTTTGGTTCATAAACTGCTAGTATGTTACCTGCAGGAGGTCTCCCCTGTAAAATGAATTATAGTAAGCTATATGTGATAATTAACCATGCATTAGCAAATATCTTGAAACAGGGAGGCTCTGTTTTCTCTGTATTTTGACTAATAAAAGCATGAATTTGTTCAACAAATGATCATTTAGGTTGTGGAATTCTAACCATATTGGAAGGACACAGTGAGCAATACAACATTGTGCTGGTCTAAGGGTTTCCTTACCCAAACAGGCTGCTTAATAGGCTGGCTCCATACTATGATGCTATTCACAGACCTAAAAACCACAGCGTTGAGAAGACAAATACAATATACATTTAAAATAATATGAACCTTGTGTTCTTATTTACTTTAAAATCACCCTATATGTGACAATTAAAAAAATACATGGGTAAAGTTCTATTTCAGAAAGTAACCTTATGTTTTGTTTAAAATATTTAAAAAGAATTCCCATGACTTTTCAACAATTAAAAAAATATATATATCATTGTACTTTTTTTTTTTTACAGTGTGGGTTTCTAAGAACTTTCTTTAGATGGTTTCAAACATGCTCTGGAAATAAAAACTAGATCACAACATTGAATAAGACAACACTGTCTTCTGAATTACTTAATGCATCATCCAAAAGAGTACCAGGGAGTATATCATACAGGTATCAATGACTTTGAAAGAAGTGTTTTGGGTGCTGCCTTGGGGCTGAAGAGTGGGCTGGGCTGAATAAAAAGAATCAAGGGAGGTTGATGAGAAGAAGCGTCATCTCCAATTGTCAGGGCATTCATGGAGAACAGGAGTTCAGGTGTTTTTATCATTATAGGAAGCTACATGATGCTAATTTTGTGACCAGAGCCTGCCAGCAATAGAAGGTACCAATGATGCCTTAAAATTAATAGATTTTCCCTTGTCCTGCAAGACACCAATTGCTTCTTTATAAAAAGGAATATCTTCTCCTTTTTTTCTCCTGATCTTCTAACCTCACAGCTAAAATGCATATTTATATGGAGTATATATAAACACATGCACACATACTTACACAGATCTAAAAATAATTCAGACAGACCACGAAGGCAGCTTCGGTGTTTATTTCAAATCTGTGACCAATAGTTCTGCTTTAAATAGTCTATCCAAATCCATCAATAAGTTGAGGTTATCCCTTCTAAGCAGTTCCAAGAGTTTATATGTTTATACCCAAACTGTTTCCATGGGATATTAATAGATGTTAGCTAAAAGGATTCTGTGGTCAGATATATATGAGAATCCCTGGATTAAGTAAAGTGAGATAGGTTTCTTTACTGTAGGACTTCTCAGAGCCTTTACTACTGCCTTGGGAAATACTGCCCCAGTGCAAACATTAGATACACATAGCCAGTTCTCATTAGAAAGAGCATCTAGTTTTATAAAAAGTTTCACCAGTGATGCAGAGATGGAAAGAGATGTTGTTTCTGAAGATCTTGAAAGCTTTGTGGGACTAAAAACCAGGACATTGTTACAGACCAGAACATCCTATACTCCTATACTCAATGAGAGAACATTCAATCCTAAGTGAGACTGAAGTCTTTCTTAGTTTGGCTAAGGGGCAACACTCTTGATAATCAAAACATCCTTCAGTTGCAAGTCATTCACCCACTTCAGGATTGTAAGGAAAATCACAAAGCAAACACATTTTGTCATCTCAGCAAAGAATCCCTTCTTTCCATTGCATGTCAAGTCAAAGTATTTCTACTCGTAATCACTCAGCACCTCCCAGGAAAAAGAAAAAAAGTGGCTACTGGCTTCCGGGAGGGAGGTAAAAATACACCCCCTAGCTCTATACAGTCTTTCTAGCTCTTTCTGAGCAAAAGCGCTCTTTTTTTTAACCTGTCAATGAATTGGGTGGTTACAGTGCAGACTATAAACTCCTATGAAAGCAGAAATCTTCAAGTTGAGTGAAGATCCTGGGAAGGAAATGGGAAGAGGACTGGTGCTGAAATAAAATGAATTCTGTGAAGTTTGAGGACTTGGTTTTGGTGTGTTTCATAGCAATAGTTTTGTCATTACATAGCAGGTGCAGAAGCCTGGAGAGACTCATTGAAAGGAAAACAAGCAAGGATCTTCCAGACACCAACAAACATCTTTGGAGGCTGATGGCACAGGGAATACCTCCACTACCTAGCCCCTCAGTTCTTCCTTTCTCCACAAACAAGCTTTGCTGAAAAAGTGAAGAATTTTAGTTAAGGTCTTTGAGTCGAAATGGGATTGTAATCTACAAGGGATTAGAGCTTTTTGGCACTGGTTTCAGCCTTTGGTAAAGTGATTGTGGGGGTCTGAGACTAAGTGAGAAAATAATGCATTATGAGCAGAAGATCCTAAACCATTTTTTGTCTGATAGAAAAAGCTCAGGCTGTCTGGGTGCAGTGGCTCACACCTGTAATTCCAATTTCAGCACTTTGGGAGGCCAAGGTGAGCGGATCACCTGAAGTCAGGAGTTCAAGACCAGCCTGGCCAACATGGCAAAACCATGTCTCTACTAAAAACACAAAAATTAGCTGGGCGTGGTGGCACACGCCTGTAATCTCAGCTACTCAGGAGGCTGAGGCAGGATAATAGCTTGAACCTGGGAGGTGGAGGTTGCAGTGAGCGGAGACCATGCCACTGCACTCAGTCTGGGCAACAGAGCAAGACTCCATCTCAAAAAGTAAAAAAAAAAAAAAAAAAATTTAAAAAAAGAAAAAGCTCAGGCTTGGAATCAATCAGACAGACCTAGGTTCAAATCCCACCTCTCCTACATACAAGGACAATATATTTAGTCATCCTGAGCCTCAATTTCCTCATCTACAAAATGATGATAACAAGATAATTTATGCAAAGTGCTCAGTGCACAGTAGGAATTGAGTAATTACTTGTTATCCCTCATTCCTGTCTAACGGTATTCAATATAAAGACTCATTCCAGTATTACACTCCTGTGCTATGAGCCAATCTGGACCTAGCTTCAATGCTCCTTTTAAGAGGTAGAAAAAGTTGAGTACATAATAGCTACTCTTTTTGCGCATTTATGATAGATGTGCCAAGGCATTGTGCAAAGCAATTTTTTGTGCATTTATCCCATTTAATTTTAACCATCTCCCCATGATTTAGAGCTTCTATTTCTAGTTGATGAAAAGTCAGAAAAAAAATTTAAATCTCTAGTAATGAGGCTGGTTTCTTTCACCCCATTCTGCTTTCATCAGGACCAATCTTAAAGCCTGGTGCTGTTTCTGCAGTATTTTACTTATCAAAATGGTATTATTGATTGGGCTTGGGAGCAAGTGCTAAGAGTGCCCCCTTTTGGTCCTGGAGAGCCTTGCAACTTATCCGGGAGAATTAGGTGTGAAGCCTCCTCTTTGCGAGCGCATTCAGGGTTATTTGTGTCTCCTACTGTTGTGTCCCCTGGTCGGTCTGTATGTGGCTTTCACATTCCTTAATAAAGTAATAGACATGAAAGAATTCTGTGGCCGACGCCAGCAGCCACAGAGAACACCAAGTCTAAAGTCAGCAAAAGGTAAACATATGGAGCCATCCAAGGAATGTAGCAATAAAAATTGGAACATATGACGAAGCCTCCCCTCCCCCCTCTATTTTTCTGGGATAATTGTGTCAAGGAGGGGGAGAAAAGCATCTCCTTGCAGACAGCATGCCTTCATTGTGATCCGCTGTCGTCTGGCAGGGGGAGCCAGTCAAGCAATCTTTCAAGAAATAGTTAGCCCCCCCTTTTTTTCTCCTGAGTGTTCAATGACCAAAAATCTCTCAAATCAAATCCAAAGACAATTATTTATTTTCCAGACTTAATTTAATAGCAAAAACACCCCTGGAGGACTGAATGTGGTATTTGACTTTTATTTGGGCCACTCTGGGCATCACCAGCAGTTTTATTCTCCAAAGTGTGACTTTGCAGTGAGCTCCTTGGCCCACAGAACAGTCCAGGGGCACTGGCTGGGATCCTCGTTCCCCACACAACAGCAGCCCCGGGCAGGGCCAGAGACAGCACATAAATAATGCTTCTCAGTGCAAATTTGACTCGGTATTTCTTCTCTGTGGCTCATAGTCTTCATTCTCATGAAGGGAAAACATGACCCCGGACTGTGCCCAGACCACCTTCCCAGCCTTGCCTGGCACCATGGTGGCCCCTGCCGGCCTGTCTGCCCCTGCTGTGTGGGGTGCGTTGCTGCTTCCCTTTCTTGTCTTGCCTTTGCTCATGGCTTTACCTGCGCCTGGAGCATTTCCATCTCTACCTAGAGCATTGGTATTCAAAGTGCATGCTGTGGAGTTCCAGTGATGGATTCAAATCATAACTTTATTACCCACATGCCTGGAGAAAGTGAATTGGCCTCTCTGTGCCTTTCCTTGTGTTTCCTCATCTGTAAAATGGAAATGATCACAGAAACAACTAACTTTACAGGGCTATGATGAGGATAAAATGAGCACATGGTCTAGCCAGTGTCTGGAACACGGTAAGCACACAATACCTTTTAGTTATTATTATAATTATTAGTAATCCCACTATGGAAGTCCTACTCACCCTTCGAGAGAGATCAACCACATTTCTCTTATGAGACCTTCAGGGAGTCTCCTCCTCTGTTCCCAGCTTCCTTTTTATTAAATTGTTCTTCCACCTCTGTGGTTTTTGTTCCTTCATTATACCAACTATTAGTCTGACTTGGGATAATTTCATTCATTTAACAGCCACTTACTAAGCACATACAATGTGCAAAGCATATTGCTGGAGATAGGAGGACCAACCAGATTTGGAGCTCCCTTTAAGGAACCAAAGATACAAAGGGAAGCCACAGCTCAGGCTGCCCATAGTGAAAGGTCAAAAGTGTCAAGTGCTATGAGACACATGAAAGGAAGATGCTGTTGGGCAGGGGGGTATAGAGAAAAGAGAGGTCAATGTAAGTTGAGGTGATTAAGAAAGGCTTTATGGAAAAATGGTGTTTGCAGTAGATTCCTCAGGTTTTATGCATTTAAAGATGGGAAGAGTGGGGAAAAGAACAAAGCAGAGAGACAAGTGACTGGTTATTTGCTTTCATTACGCAACTAAAATGTTAGCCCCAGGAAGCTAGAGACCATCTCAGAAATAGTGTCACCTTGCCATTAGGCATGTCAGGAGGTCACACGGAGACCAGGAAAGAGAACCAAGGACAGCATGGGTTAAAAATATGGAGAGAAAAGGGCTGGCCCCTTGAGGGTGTGACTGGCAATGGCAAACAAATAATCCCAAAGGCAGGCTTGTTACTCTAGAACATTCCAAGTGGTATTCTAATTCATTAGTTCCATCCAAGGGGCAGAGTGAGGGCCTGTAGTTGTGTCTAGTGGCTAGTCCAACAAAAGTAATGGGAGTTGTTCTGAGTGTCTGATTGGGACAATAGAAAGTGGGCCCAATCCTAGGTTAGGAGTTGACTGGGGTCCTGAACAAGAGGGTTAGAGTGGGTAAAGCCAGACTCCTGTCCCAGCATACACCAAACCCAGGCACCCAAGAAAACAGTGGGCTGAGTAAACCAGCAGGGATGCTGGGGCCTGTCCTGTGTCCCAGTGCCAAGGACCACGTTTGTATGCCACCACACTGAGTCTCAAAGAAGCTGCAGCTTGAATGTGCATGTGTGCTACAGTGGTATATAACAGGAGCAGTATGGATTCTGTGGCCATCACACATGGACAGAACCCACTAGCTCCATGACTGAGCAAATCATTCAGTACTCTATGCCTCAGCACTTTTATCTGTCAAATGTGGAAATTCACACACATTATATTAGGATCAAAAGAGAAAATTATGTAGACTTTAGAGTGTGGTTCACAGACCAGCAAAATGTCTGTGAATTTGTTAGAAATATAGTCTCAGCCCCCGTCCCAGACTTACTGAATCACAATCTGAATTTTAACTCGACACCCCAGGTGATTTACATGTACCTTAGAGTTTGTTAAACAAAGGACTAACTAGATTAAAAGTTGGTATACTTGCTTTGTTTTCTGCGCACCATGGACCCCTCATCTACTGGTCAGCAGGTGTGACTAATTGCCAGCCCAAATTCAGAAGAGATTCCTTCTGGGGGTTCTTACTGAACCCCTAGAGTGGGACTAAGACTACTGGGGAATGTCTCTCATAATTCATGTCGACTTGCAGTGACTTGCACAGTCTCTCTGTCTGTCTTTGTCTCTTTCTCTGTCACACACACACAGACACACACACAATCACTCATGCACACAGGCTCACACCCATAATGTACACAAGGCCTTTAGAAAAAAACAAACTTGAGTTTGTTAATCCATGAGCAGCAAGGTCCCTCTTTACACCTAATTACTCCTAACTTCTTGACTCATTTTTTAGATTTTCAACCTAGCATACCTACTGATTTCACACTTAAATGTGCTTTTCACTTACAATACTGATTTTAAGTGCAGTTGCTTTGATTCTCACTGGATAAAGGCCCATGTGGCTCCCCGCTATAGTAAAAATCTTCTGTGTGCTTTTGGGAGGCCTGAAAGAGGCTGAACTCTAAACCTGCCAAACACAGGTCACACAGGCCACAGAGCACTCTCCCTCACTTTCTGCTCTGGCCCACCAGATGGTTCTGGCATATTCCTACCCCTGACCTCCCTATCATCCTCAAGCCTATCCATTAAACTCCCATTTTGTGAGGTTTCAGCCCCCGTTCCCGCTGAGATGCTCAAAGCAGGAGCTGTTCCGCATTCTCAGAGTTTGCGAATGGAAGATGCAGCCACTCTGGTTGACATGGTATTGGCAGAAACGGTCAAGAGCATGGGCTACAGAATGCAGCTGATGGACTTAGCACTAGCTAAAATGTGTCTGACCATATATTTAGCCACTTATTGTGTGACCTTGAGCACATTACCTAACCTGTCCATGCCTCAGTTTCCCTGTGTATAAAGTAGGGGAAATAATGGTACAGGTTTCAATGAACTCTTCCAAGGAAAATGCTTAGTATAGTTCCTGGCACATAATAAGTACTCAATAAATGTTTGCTATTAATATTAGGCTCACCTTATACAAAGAGGTT